TCAGCTACAACCTTTCAGTTTGACATTCTCAGCACTTGTTTTAAGCAGTCTGGGTGTCCCATCACTAATCAGGGGCATTCCAGACATTTCATGTAACACTRTATTGTAATCTACTATRAATAATAGTACTRTCGACTGGGTTACTCAGTTCGACATTCTCAGCACTTGTTTGCCTTCACCTCTCTTCTACTACTTCAGCTACAACCATTCAGCAAACACTTTGCTGCCTTGAAAATAGTGTCATCCTTAAGAAATATCCTAGAGAACAACTGAAAACTCACCCCTGCGTTGTAAACAAGTTGAATCACACGAATAGGTGCAGCAGCGACTTCTTTTGATTTGTATATGTCATCCAATGGAAGATTTTGCTCCAACATCTGACAAAAGATTTGCAATTATATAAAAGAAGAAAAGCAAGCAGAAATAGAAATGTAGGGAGTGGATAATGATACTAAATATACCTGCAAGTGATCACCAAAGAGTTTAACTTGAGAGGTTGCCTTGTCATCTCGTATTCCAATAAATGCTTCAAAAGTAGCCTAGATATCATGTATTAACAAATAATATTAGTAACATTACCAAGGAAAAAAATCTAGTGACAAATAACACGATGATATTAATGTGCTTTCATAAAACATGCATTTATGGAACGATATTATCTAACTAATTGGATGAGGAACAAAGTGAAATAAACTAGCACTCTGAACCATCAAATTGGATGACAAATAATGACATGTAATTACTAAAATGAAAAGTATATAGCTGTTAGTGTAAAATAGTTTTTAAAACCACAAAAAAAAAGATGTTTATGTAGAACATGGGAAAAAAGAGCCACTATTGTCAAATACTCCAAATTTCTACACTGATCACCCATAAAAAACAAATGGAAAAGAGATTAAAGGCAACAGAGTAGCAATTGTTCCTATGTAGAGTTAGTCTTAAGATATAATCATATAAAATAGAAATTTAGTATGAAAGTTCTCCTAAGAAGCAACTGAGGTAATGTTCTAATCAATTTGCTCCTGTAAAATACAGGTAGTTTGATTACATCAAAAATAAAGATAACCAAAGATAAAGTAAACAGGATTCTTAACAATCAGGGAAAAAACAACAGGATTCTTGAACAATGTCTATTGGTGACTTCAGTATCATGCCACAGTGGGTGGTTCACGGTCTTAACTTTACAGAGATAAAATATGAAGATGCGAACAGAAACAAAAACTGGCTATATCATTAATGCCTTGTATGCAAAAGCTTAAGAAATAATAAGTTGGCCACATCATTTATACCTTGTATCCGAAAAGAGTGTCCTCGTATGTTTCATATGGACCAATAGTAATGTCCAGTTTAGAGTCCTGAAAATGAATAAATGAACATGTTATTGAAAATAATTGTTTGTATAATTAAGAAATGTACAGCATATTCCTAAATATCATAAAAGTGATTTTATTCTATTTAGAAGTCTTTGCATCCTAGATTGGAGGTCAAGACTATTATTTGCCATCAATATGCAGATTGGAGGTCAATTTTCAGGCTCACTAGCATTTGCTGCCAAAGAATCACTACTTGTTTCATAGTTGTCAAGGCATATAGGCAATTCCAGATGACAAGGGATGCCTAGTGGCCTAGGTGCCTAGGCATTCAAATTTGGCAGAAGCAAAATCCTACATTCTAAATTAATCTTCCTAGTTTTCTATATCAACCAGCATGATACATACTGACCAATTCCATCCAAGCTATGTCAGACTCATAATAGTCATTTGAAAGAAAAGCATCAGCTCTTGCTTTCAGCAGCCTCTTTAAACTGCACAACAGGAGATAAATTTGAAATCAACAGACACAATACTGAATAAGATGATAACTTGTAAATGAACTTATAGTTTCCATTGAAACAACAAATATACCTTGCACAATCGGTAATGTCCCCTGCTTTAGTCAGCAATTCAGAAGCTTTTACTAGAAAAGGCTTATATTCATGAGAGAAGGGAACAATGAAAAGATCATGGATGGGGACCTTAACTTGATTAGTGCTGCCAAATGTACCATAGAGAGAAGAAGAATCCAAATTGGATTCACTATGTCTTCTAATAACATTAAAAAATCCGGTTGCAACTTCTTGTTGTTCCTCCGACAAATTGCTCTTCCATAATTCAAATTCCTACAATAAATGGGTTTCCATAATGAAATAGAAAGAAGACAACTTTGAAATTGGATGTACACTATTTTTTTTAGAAAATTTGTGTAAACGTGTCAGTCATTTAAGAAACATTAGTGTATCCAAAAAAACCAATGGATCTCTGTCCTATATAATACAATTGAGGATATTTTACCATTTTGTCCATGTCTGGTGGGTAGAAATTTGCACCAGGGGGTTTCTGCATGGGAAATGCAGCTCTATATTCAAGTCCCTTCCACCCAGGTATAGGCTTGGCGGATTCAGGAAGCAACCTAATAGCTGAATCTGCCGTTGTCAAAAAGGCTTTGTTTTCATCAAGGCACGACCTGTTATAAGACGTTAAGAACAAAAAAAGTAACCTCAATGTAAAAAAAGCATAGCTAGCATTTCAGTTTAACAGAGATAGTCAGGTACACAAAAAAAGAAAGCACACAAACAGAAAGAGAAAGCAAACAGTGATATGGAGGAAAAGTTGAAGACCACCAAAAGGCAATAGCAAATTGAAAGAGAAAAAATGACAGGTAATTTACAATAAAGCATGGAATCAAATTTGAGAACAATAGGTGTAAGAGCATCGATTCCTTACTGTTACAAAGTTTGCCAATGAGCTCAATATCATGTGAATTCGGTATGATTTGAGCAAACCATCGTCACTTTCAGACGATATACATCTATGATGGAATCTTTACTTTCACATTATTTAAGTTTCAATTAACTATTATTAATTTTCATGCATTTTTTCACTTTGGACATTTTTTTTTTGCTTAATTTTTCTTAATAACTACATGCATTTGTATTATAAGGTTTATGGATGATTCACTAAAAGATCCACCTGTTACTAGTGTGCATCCAAAAGACCAGCATTATCAGATGTTCATAAAACTAGAAATGCCACTAGATCACAGATCAAACAGTTTGACTACTGGGTTGATTCAGTGACCCATAATATCATCTATGTGAATATATAATATATCATATACATTTTAACATGTGTGTCATGATCTTGTAGTTATTCTTGTTTTCATACAAGTGATGCAAGGTTCAAGTCTCAAAAATGGTATCAAAGCTTAGTGGTAACATGTTATTGCATGAGAATAGGAAGTCAGAGGTTCAAGTCTCTTCACCATCAACATCACCTCTTTCACTATCTTGGTTCAATAATCCACAACAATGGAGAGATTGGGTATGTCACCCACATAGTTTGATGGGCAAAATGAAGGGGTGCATCTGAAGTCCTATTTGATATGAGAACGGCACTTAGGCTAAAAGCAAAATTTTATATAGCGGTTATAAAAACAGCAATGTTATATGGAGTGCTAGGTAGTCAAGAAATAACATCTCCAAAAGATGAGTGTAGACTAAAAGACAACTCTAAGATGGATGAGTGGAAAACTAGATGAGATATGATAAACTAGAATACATGTATGAGCTTAGGAGTATCACCAAACATGTTATACAATATCGTCAAGATTTGGTAAAATCTCCCCATTTTGCTAAGGGTAATACAATATATTCCAAGATTTTTTTCTCTCACATCTACACCACATGGCTGATATATTGGGTGATATTTCCAATGTTTTAAAAGCAATGCCTCATGCATGCCTAGTGCAAATTGTAAAGCATTCCTCGTTTTAACCCAGGTATAGCCCCTTTCAAAAAGCATGCATTTTGATTCCTATATTCTTTACACCTTTGTAATGGTTTATCAACTAATAAATTTTATTATTGTTTGTAAATATATTAACTTTTAAAATAAACAAAAAGAAAGACCTTTCAAATACCTAAAGCTTTAGTTCTTCAATAGTATCTTAAATGGAAAATTTTCCACTAAAGAAGCAAAAGTAATACGACTAATATTTGACCACAAATCCTAAAATATAACCAACTACAACTAAAAGCATAAAACCAGCCCCATTGTATATCAAGCCAAAAATTCAAGTTGAGGGCATTCCCACAAACCCCTAAATGGATTTGCTTGGCTTGCCTCAAGGAACCTTTAAGGAGGCAGAGGGCCAATCTCCAAGAGTTAAAAATGCATAGTGTTTAACATTACAATAGCCACTTTAGGTAATGCAACTACAAGATAAGTAAACAGAATGAAAGCTTCACATGCTTGAAGAACTTTGGTAAGATCGACAAATGTTTGCTTTGACTTCCATATTTTGACTTTGAATATGTTTTATATCATATAACACACATGAGAAATGATCTGTTACAAGCATGGTTTAAAATGTCCATGTATTTCCTATATTTCCATGACATATTTCCATTTCCATAGGTACCAACACAAAAAATTTCCTATATTTGGATGATCAATATTTCCACCGACACCAACATTTTAAATCTTGGTTAAAAGTTGAAGGGGGGCTAGAAGAGCTAGGGGAAGACCATAAAGGACATGGGTTGTAGTATGAAATGATTTAAGCACTCATAAATTAACAATGGATAATGGCACAAAACAGATGGAATGGCAAAGCAGAACTCATGTAGACAACCCCATATAGTTGTGACAAGGCTTAGATGATGATAAAATGTTTAATATTTTATGCTTATGCACTTTAATTTGATACAATAGGCATTTCAAAACATTTACTTTCTTTTACAATACAGATACTTCAAATTTCATTGATAAATTATGCATCTTAGATTTAAAATTTTAGACTATCATCATTGTTTGCTGGAATACAGTTGCCGAAGGAGGAGAAGAAGAAGGAGAGGAAGATTTGAGAATGGCGGCAATAAATCTCTCAGCCGGCCCTACTCTATTATAAATAAGTGTATTACATAATGTTACATAAATAGACTAGAATGCCCCTGATTAGTGATGGGACACCTAAGCTAAGCATGGATATCAATCATGTTTAGCTTGCCAAGTAAGTCCAAGAATTTTATTGAAGCTAGCCCTTTAGTTAAAACATTTGTGATCTGCATCTCGGAGGGAGTATAAGGAATGCAAAGTTCTCCTGAGACTATTCTTTCTCTGACAAAGTGGTGGTCTATCTCAATATGTTTCGTTCTATCATGTTGCACTGGGTTATTTGCAATGTTGATGGCAGCCTTCTTGTCACAGTACAACCTGAGAGGGTACTCAATCCTTATTCCAAGTTCACCAAGAAGGATCTTAAGCCACAGAAGTTCAACAACACCATGAGCCATAGCTCAGTATTCAGCCTCTGCACTTGATCTAGCAACCACATTTTGTTTTTTACTCCTCCATGTAACTAGATTTCCTCCAACAAAGGTGCAGTACCTGGAAATGGACTTCCTGTCCCCAATAGAGCCACCCCAATCTGCATCAGTATATGCTTCAACTTCAATTTTATTGTGTTTTCTGAACAGAATCCCTTTCCCCGGGCAAGTCTTCAAATATCTGAGAATCCTTTCCACAGCTCTCATGTGAGGGATTTTAGGAGAGTGCATGAACTGATTGACAACATGTACAGCATAAGCAATATCAGGGCAAGTGAGGGACAGATAAATCAACTTCCCCACCAGCTTTTGGTATCTCTCTTGGAGTATCTGCTGGCCTACACCCCATCATACCTGTCTCTTGTAGAAGATCAAGGACATATTTCCGCTGACATATATAGATGCCCTCTTTTGACCTAGCAACTTCAATCCCAAGGAAGTATCTCAGCTGGCCCAGGTCTTTGATCTCAAATTCAGCAGCCAATAACTCCTTTAGTCTTTTAATCTCTTCCTGATCATCCCCTGTAATCACCATATCATCCACATAGACAATAAGTGTTGTAAGTTTGCCATTTTTCTTCCTTATGAACAAGGTATGATCTGCCCCACTTTGAATGTAACCCCCTTTCTTCATGGCCCCACAAAGCTTCTAAAACCAAGCTCGAGGAGACTGCTTAAGACCATATAATGCTTTTCTCAGTCTGCACACCTTCTTGCCAAACCCATAACCTGGTGGAGGATCCATGAATACCTCTTCATGTAGGTCGCCATTTAGGAAAGCATTCTTCACATCCAACTGATGTAGCTCCCATGAGAAGTTTGCAGCTAATGGCAATAGAACTCGGATTGTATTGAGTTTTTCTATTGGAGCAAAGGTTTCTTTGTAGTCAATCCCTTCTTTTTGAGTAAACCCTTTTGCTACAAGTCTGGCCTTGTACCTTTCAATGGACCCGTCCTCCCTATGCTTAACAGTGAACACCCACTTGCATCCAACAATGCTTTTCCCTTCCGGTAGATCCACTAATTCCCAAGTCCCTACTTTCATTAAGGCTTTCATTTATTCGTTCATAGCCTCTTTCCATCTTGGGTCGGACACTGCCTCTGAATACCTAGTAGGGACATGCACAAAAGAAAGAGCAGACACAAAAGAACAATAACGAGCAGACAAATGTGACTAAGACACAAAAATCAGCAATGGGGTGTCGGATAGTACAAGAACGGGTAGGCTTACGAAGGGCAATAGGAAGATCCAAGTCAGAGGGATGTGTGATAGGATTACCTGGAGTTGCTGAGACAGGTTGATCCGAGTCCAATTGGTTGCTGTCATGAGTTAGAGGACCCTTTTTCCTTCTGTTGTAGGTGATTCTTATATCTTTTTGTTGTCTGCTGGAGTCTTTTGTAACATCTGCAACATCACAAGTAGTAGCTGGTACAATGGGAGCCTCACTAGATTCACCCAGGATACCACAACTAGGAGGATCAGGGGGAGAAGATGGAAGGTCCGAGGCTGAAAGAAGCACAAAGGAGGGAATAGAAGAATCCTCTTCCATCCCGCTAGTCTCCCCCTAAAGAGGATTCTGGGAAGAATGAAAATAGGATTGAGACTCAAAAAATACCACATCYTTTGTRACRTATTTYTTCTTGGTGRCKGGATCATAACACTTGTAACCCTTCTGTGTAGGAGAGTACCCCAAAAAAATTCCTTTCGTAGCCCTAGGGTCCAGTTTGGTCTTCTTTGGATCCTTTACATGTATAAAGCATACACAACCAAAGACTCTCGGTGGAAGAGAAAAGTCTGGAAGATGAGAGCAAAGGACAGAGAAAGGAGTTTTCATCCCCAATACCTTGGATGGCATTCGATTTATTAGATATGATGCAGTAAGGACTGCTTGAGACTAATAGTGTTTGGGAACCTTGTGCTGAAATAGTAAGGCTCGAGCAGTCTCCAATAGGTGTCTATTCTTGCGCTCAACAACCCCATTCTGTTGGGGGGTACAAGCACAAGATGACTGATGGATCATTCCAGCATCCTCCATAAACAGGTTCAAGGATCTTTCAAAATATTCAACAGCATTATCTGACCTGAATTGTTTAATTTTCTTGCCAAATTGTGCTTCAATCATTTTGTAAAATGCCA